GCTTTAGTGGCTGGCATTTGGTGGCTCTTTCAGAAACGTTAAGTGGCTGTGCGACCTACATTCCCCCTACCCCCCCCAATCTCACAGCCTGTGGGTAACAAGCACTTTTTGGTGGGAGTGACTCAAACGGCCCTGACTCTTTCTTCTGCATAAAAACAAGACCTCCAGCACTCAGTTGGTTCGCAGAGGTGCCAGGGCATGACACTCATAGTCAGATGCCAAGTGTCTGCTCACCACACGCTAGCATCTACATGGATATTTTCTGTCTGTGCAGCTACTTAAAGGTAGCTCTCTGCTGAGCCCCTCGCTGCTGCTGGAGCTTCCATGAGAACCATGCGATCCACCCCAGGGGTGCTGCCCACCGGTGCTTCCAAAACTGCCAACACCTGGAAGTGGCAGGGAGCATGGGGTGCTCCCTGACCCTTCATCACATTTCCTTGTCTGGAAACCAAAGAGTGCTGCTGGGGCCTGTTAACGTAAAAAACATTCAAACCTGTAAAGAATTTTTGTTGAGCCAAGCTGTCAACAACTGCCAGGAAGCAGAACCTCAACGTATCAGGGTAATGCTCTGGAGAATGGCGGTTTTATACCTGGTTTTATACATGACAATCAAAAGAGAAGATGTAAGTGGGTTACATGAACTCAGCTGGTCATAGGTTAGGGTGGCGGGAGAAAGCAAAGTGGGGGTGGGGAGGTGACATCTCTGGGATTGGATAAAAAGTAAAGTGATAAGACACATGCTTCTTTTATTCAGGTGGGTGCAGGATAGTTAACAGTCAATAATCAACCCAATAAAATGAGGGGATTTGTGGTCTCTGCAGAGTGGTGCCTGGGCTCTGAGGGGTCCAGAAAAAGAAAAGTTACTTTGACATTCCAATGATATGTTATCATAGATGCAAAAAGACTATAGGCTCAGTTAGGTAAAGACTGAGCTTTGTTAGGGAAGATACCGGCCTAGGATATGACTACCCACCATAACTGCTTTTAAAGTTTTAATTTTAGACCATCTTTTGTGGTTACTTTAGGGCTTTGAGTTTGCAAGACAACCATGCAGGCCTTCCCTGAGCTTGTCAGGTTAGCATGTGGCCCCTTTTTCATCCACATGCCTCAGTATCTCACAGAATTATACACATAAATCTCTCCATCAGTGTTTGCCTATAGTTCTTCCCTGGGGCTTGACTCTATAGGGCTGGGGAGGTGGCAATGGATGGATGGGCAGAATATGTGATACTCATACGTTCTTTTTTTCTACTCTAGGTTCTCTATCAATTCATAAAACATGCATATGCAGTATCTATACCCCAACAACTTCTCAGATGTGCCACACGTGTCTGAATCACAGTGGGGGACCCAACTGAGTCTCAAAACTACTAGATATGAAGGAAATAACAGTTTCTCTCTACCTTCTCCTGGCCTTTGAAGGTGCTTATTTATAATCCCGAAGCACTTCTACTTACTCTAATGTAACCAGGGGCCTTCCTTCCTTTAGATGTACGCTGCAGCTTATTTCTTTTACACAAACTATTCCTTAGGTGAGGAGAAGAGATCCTTTGTAGCTCTGCACTAGTTTCCTACAAGGAGCTTGAGAATCAAGACAGCTTTATCCAATCTTTACTCCTCTCCACAGGCTGAATGGAAACCACTGATGCTTGCGATTATTCTATCTTAAGCCAAGAATGACTTGGGCCAGGTGTCTGTCCTGGCTTCTGAGTGTGTGGTCAGGGAGCGGGGGTGGGAGGCTGAGGACTGAGCCCTTCAACATCTGCAGCTGAAAGAGACTTTAGTTGTCTATCGTCCAGGCCAGGGCTTCTAGCAGGATAACAACCCCATTGCCTGAGCACCATTCCCTCACCACTACCTCATTAAATCATCACAAGAAAGTTTGGGGTAAGTAGTAGGATTCTTCTTCTCTTAGAGATGGAAAGGGAGGATCAGAAAGGTCAGATTACTTGCCACAGGGACCAGAGCTAGGCAGTGGAGGAGGAAAACTTCAAACCAGGGCTTTCTTCCCCTGGAGCCCTTCTCTAAATATGACAGCCTTTAGCCTCCACTATTCTTTCTCGTGGCTATAACGGAAGGCAATTGGAAGGCAACGTATTGGTCTTCTAATAAAGAGGCAGTTTTTTTTTGTTTGTTTTTTTTTGGTGGGGGGAGGAGGGTGAAGAGTCAGTCAACCAAATTTACTAAGTCATACAATTCTCACTTACTTTCTAAGGATTTCTTCACTAAAAACGTTGCTTTATAAACAAAACAGCTAGCAGAGGCCTCTGCTCTGCTTCTTATAACCTGGCTTCTGCTAAAGACTTATTTTATAATTTTTAAAAAATATATATATTTCTATTGATTTCAGAGAGGAAGGGAGAGGGAGAGAGAGACAGAAACATCCATCATGAGAGAGAACCATTGATTGGCTGCCTCTTTCATGCCCCACACTGGAGACCTAGCCTGCAGCGCGGGACTCTTCAGTCTGCAGGCTGACGCTCTATTCACTGAGCCAAACTAGCTAAGGCTAAAGACTTACTTAAAAAAAAAAATTTATCTTCAGTGCTGAAAGTATTACAGATGTCCTCCTTTCGCCCCATTGGTCCCCCTCCCCCGCCCCGCTCCCACCCCCTCCCCCTCCCTGATAGGCCAGCAGAGGACATTTGGCTCAGAGGACTAGGAAGTCCCCAACGAGAAAGTGGCCCCAGCCTCATTTCTGGAACAGCCTGCAGTCACCTACGTGGCACAACAGGAGGCAGCCGCAACATCAGGAGGGCCAGACATCAGGTGAATGATAACAACGCCCACTTACAGCTACAGCCTCAACCACCAGCACTAATCGGTTTGAGGGACAACGAACTCCATCTAATCAGACTGAACACCTACATCCCGCAGCCTCCGCCCCTTGCAGTTTGGGCGCATAAAATTCAACCTGGAGGACAGCAGAGGCCGAGTCCCAACCTTCCTGGGTTGGCTCCATTCCCTCTAGTGAACCCCTCCTGCTTGGTCGCTGTGTCTGCCTAATTCCTTGAGCGACTCCAATCTTACACTCCCCAGGCCTTATGCATACATGCATACAAGCTCTTTGGTTAATCTCTTCCTGTCCCCTCTTCCCTCTAAGTCAGGTTATTTATTCTTCTCAATATGTGAAAACAAGAAGATAGTTGTAATAAAACAGCTCAGCCCTGGTTTCTTTGCAAGAAGTTAACATTTAGCATCTAGGAAATAAGTCCGTGCTTCTGAAAGTGTGCTTCAAGCGTTTTGGAGCACAATGAAAATTGCTGTGGTGCTTGAGTTCTTCGGACATTTGTCCTGAATCAACAGGTACTTACGTCTAGGCCTCAGTCAGTGTTGGAATTTCTCCGTCTCTTTCCTCCACGGGGCAGAACATTTGCAGAGGAAGAGAGGTCTGAGCTTAAGAGTGCTAGAGTAACAGCTCTATTGTAACTTCTGGCACTTTTATCTCTTGGAAGTTTATTCTTTCCTTCTCTATATATTCCAAATCCTTAATCTCTTTTGCTTTGTAAAGAGTATTTTTAGGATTGTACACCACACTCTGATCTCTTACCCACACCCCGGTATCACAGACTTCTTTTGGGGGCTGGTGGCCGCTCAGAGG